ACTTCAGAAAACTGTATGCTCGCACGTCTAAGTATAAGAATTCTATGATACCATACTTGGCACGTATTTTATGTGATGAAAATAGTGTCAGGCAAGAATTAACTAACCTTCTTTCATCTAGTAAATAAACAATTTCCTCCATCCATCCTTACATACCTTCAAGTTTTACTTTTATTACTTCTATTATATTTATGGTCCTGTTAATTCTCTGTTTTACTCTCATAATTGCAAACACCAACTTATCTCCATGACGGCTGTAATCTATGTTTTTTCCTTCACCATATCATGTAAAGAGAACATTATATTCAATATTTTTAAACATGTTAGGATTTCTATACCACATTGCCAATACTGTGTGACACAAGCCAACGGCAATTTTCACTTGTATTCTTATTATTATTACCCTAGCTGTTATCATTATTATTGCTATTTCCATTTTATATGCTGCATGTTTTTGACACTACCTCTATTGTAAATGTGGAAAATTTTCTGTGTGATTAATTTTATTTATAATTTGAGGAAATTAGATGCAATATTGTGATTAATGCTGAAAATTCCATTCTGTATCACAAGTACTGTTTTTGGAATAAAGTAAATTATTATTATTATTATTAAGTATTATCAGTTAGTCAGAAAGTCTTCTTTGAGTTCACTTAAATTTTCATAAAGCTAATATATGAATATCGTGCGTCGGTGGCACAGTGGTTAGGACTCTCGCCGACCATGCACATGGTCCGGGGTTCGAGCCCGCACCGACGCACACCTGATACCTATGGTCGGCCTGCAAAATTTGGGCTACCGATATCCATGCTGAAAATTCCATACTTGTACCGAAAATACAGTGTGGAATCAAGCTGTAAATAAAAAATAAAAAAAAATAAAAAAATAAAATAATTCTGGTAAAGAGAAAAGGTTGGGTATGAGGCTAGCAACCTCATCCTGTAAAATAAACACTGCTACAGAAACTTCAAGCCACAAGCTTGAAGCCCTATGTTCCACTGGGAACGTGAACGAAAAATAAATATGAATATCAACAGTCGCTCACTACTGAATGAATTGAAAATAATATTTATGAAGTTTTACTTAAAATAGTGTCCATCGAAAATGTTAAAATATAGCTATCCTATATCTGCAATCAGCATATGACTAAGACAAATGTGTCAATGAATTTCATCCAGGAAAATGAATTATAAAAGTGTTCATAGCTGGAAAGAAACTGAAGTCTTGGACTCTTTGACTATTCATAGTTGCTTGATTAATGTTATTTCGTAAGAAAATCTGTTTGGAAATAGTCCCCTTTTTCTGTTTAACTGGTCAGTAGCAAATAACGGCTACTTTAGAAGAAAATTCAGCTTCGAAAAGGTGTTGTTTTTGATTCCATGAATGGAAGTTGGGATCAGCCATGAAATGACACTACCAATTTTTCTAATTTACATCTGTCGATGCTGTGGATGTATCATTAATACATCTTAACAGAAAATTATTCATGCTATTTGGTTAATGACTGATAGCGGTGGAATCTAGGATGCTTATTTCATCATATTCGGCTCTCGTCTGGTGGATGCACTTTAATGCCTGTGTGAGGAAATCAGCAGTCACTGAGAATGTAGATAAATCCATCTGACGAGCACCAGTGAAATGTACCTTATAGACTCAGGTGATACCTGTGACCAACTATCTAACGTCATGTTTATCTAAAGGCGTCGTCCAACAGTTCGTACAAGGAATTAAAAAAAAATAACTTCAACAAGCACATCTTTTATAAATGAATCAAAAGTCATTCAAACAAGATATTTGACAGAAATCACACAGCCTTCTTCTCTAATACCTTCGCCCACAACTCAAATACAAAGAGAATTTGTTATCTTTGTTTGTCTAGCACACGCCTACTCTGATTAATCGTCTCTGATTCTCATTGTACTAATACGCATTTACTCACTAATTATATCTCTTCCTGTTGATGGACGATGTTATACGAGCATATCTAATTAACACAGTGTTTAAGGTTTCACATTGTTGTATTGCATAACTACTATATTTCTGAAATAGTGCTTAGATTTTTAATACAAGTAATAATGATATTAACTAATTCCTTAACAATATTTTGAGAACTTTCTCAGATGCCAAGACTCTAGAATCCTCCTAAGCTAATATTTCACAAGAATGCATAACTGAGAAGGTAAGCAGTATAGGGATATAGCAATATTATATATATATATATATATGAATCAAGCAAAATTTTATAGGAAACACAAAGCTCCAGAAGATGCTCAAACAGACTGCGAAGTCTGTTTTGGAAAGATCATTTTTTTGTACTCTGTTCCACAAGCAACTCTCAAAATACAAATAATAAGGCATATAAAATTTGGTTGAAGACGAATATTTAGAAGAAAAGACCCAATCAATAATGAATATTCGCCATGGCTGATAGATAGTTAAAACCTGAGAGATATGATTAATTTATATCTATATCCAGTAAAATGGTATTCAAAAACTTTCAATTCAAGAGTGACATCACTAAAAGATGTATCCCAAGATCCATGAGAAGGGGATTCACTGCACCACCACTGAGAATAGTGTTTTTGATGAAGCCAAAGTCAAAATTTGACCTTCACGAACTATTCAGATATAAGGAAAGCTACAGTACGTAATTTCAAACCAAATAATGTGTACCCTTATGAATTTGGCGACACTGTTTTGCTTACTCCCTAGGTACATTTTTATGTTAAGGTTAGGTCAAAAAATTGAGTGAGGAATATCAATGGACATGAAAGTACTATGATCTACAGTCATCTGGATGAGTACATCTATCAAGCATCGTGTAACTTCTCTTTGGATTCTCCTTGAAGTAGACATTCTTACAACACACAAGATACAATTAGCATGTGTAATATCATATTTTCATGAAAGAATAGAACATGAGCACTTTAGTAGCATATAGTCTTATTATACGGTAATTTTATTACATAAAGTTCAATAGACAGACATGAAGCAGATTACAGGAAGGCAAAGTACATTCGGAAATAAGATGCATGTTGCCAATAAAATAGATGACGGAAAATAAGTCGGCTGCTGTTATTCAGCAATATAAGTGTTATAAATAAAATATAATGAGATGGGAAATAAGATATTCTGTTAGTCGAATATTTTTCAATACATCTTTATTGATTATGAAACTTTCATGCATCTAAATTCTGATTGGTTGTTTGGGGTCAGGGAATTCGGCTGCGATACCTTAACTATTACTCTTCAGCAACCAGAGGGGCAAGGTGTTGTATTTGGCCTACTCTGTATGTATTTTACCTGTTCACCTGTTCCTGTAAAGTCAGGTATATTGTTCTTGAGACGCAGGTTTTGTCCAAAACGGTGCAAGATCAATATACCGTGGGGTTACGAAGATGTGAAAGTAGGACTATAAAATGCGCAATAAATGAATGCTAATCGATACTAGTCTTGTTATCTCTACGGTCTCTTTCATTAAAGTTATCTACAAGGCGAAGAATAACCTGCCAAAGTCATTACGTGTGATGACTCATATGTATTACGGAAGGCCTAGCCATCTGAACAGAAAAGCCGGAGCCTCATGTTCAAAAAGAAAGAGATATTACTACGTACTTCAAGATAACTTCTGGCCTTTAAAGATATTTCAGTCTTTATAAGTGGTACAGTTATGGCGTAATAAAGATGATCCCAGCCATAATACTATAGTACATCTAAGTTTTCACGTTCTGCAATGTGTTGTATACGGTCAAAGATGAACAACATTGTATTAAGAAGTACAAGTGAAAATTGGAAAGATACATTGTTAATGGAATCGAACTTTGAAAACCGCGAAAACGAAAGAAAGTGTATAACCGCGTAAAAATACATATGTAACAGAGAAAAGCAATGTTCAATAATACAGTGGCAAATATTCCACAAGCATATGTAAAATTAGTTTCTGTAAGCGTATAACATCCTTACATGAATAAGTTTTATAAGCGTGCAATTAAGCTTAATATAGGGGTGCTACACAATAACCATATGATCTCATTACTAGTGTGCACAACGAACGTTGCTGCCAGAAGTTTACCTATAAGCAAATGAGAACTAGTATCAACTGATGGAATGTGATGTCAATTTCTGAAATAAAAGAATTAGCTGTAAATTTAAATACACTGTGAAACTAATATTTTAGGTGAACAGTTCCCATCTCACAGTGACATACACAGATTGGTTTCTATGACTCAGAAGGTATTTTTCAATGACTACATAACTCCTTTTTGCGAAGAATGCAGAATGTCTAATAAGAAGATCGATGTATACTCTTTCTCATTGCTTCTGCATACTTTGTTACTTAAGGGTTCTTCATTCTGAGACAATTTAAAGTGATAATAATCACAAAATTATTTACATTGCCTACTATTATTGAGAAAGACGATATTTGGACTAATTTTTAACCTTGTGCAATCTACTTTTTGACCACTTTCAACCTTACATTTTTCTATAAATATCTTTGGTTTCATTCTGCTGTTACGTCATAGTAAATAATCACAACTTATATGTCTAGCATTTTTTTGTCCGGCTCACACTTTTCAGTATTCAGGAGTTTCGTTTCCACTGCAATAATATTTGAAGTGATAATTATATTTCAGAATAATAATCGTGGAAAGCAAAACAAAATAATCAATATACTCAAAGCTTATTTGTGTATAAAACTGCTTTAATCTTATTCAATTTCTTTTCCTTGGAGTGAGGTGAGTTTATTTGCACATCAATATATATATATATTCTCTGCATTTACGACAAAATTTCCACAAGAATTTTGTTCGACCAATCAAACTTCAATTGTGGTTGTTATATACTGTCGGAGGTTCATTGAAGCTTTCTTGGAATTACTATCTGTTTGTGAACCTGTCTGTATGTGCCCTTTCCATGTAAACGTGTGTGTGTGTGTGTGGTGAAATGAAATCGAATTCTGTTTGTTCCCTATCCTTGTCTTCCCCTTTTTGTTTTTTTCTCTCTCCCATTATTGTCAGTATAAATTTGACTTGTGAGTTAGTTAAACTGATGCGAAAATTTTCAGGAAATCATATTTTGTTGGTAAAACGAATATTTACTTCACATGACAAAGTGTTACATAATTTTGGCTTCTTGTTTGAGTCTTTTTGTCATCTGCACAGAAGCAAGAACAAAGGATTACGATAAAAATTTAGGAAAGAATGCAGTTACACGACTGGTAAGCCTTTTATTCCCTGTTTAATTACTATTGTTGTACCAAAAGAGAAAATACTCAAATCAACTTTTATTTATTTTGATTATGTCGAAGCGTAGCCACCTAGCATGGCGGTGAATTCAGTCGACACCAAAATAAGGACTAGACGCATGACACTAGCTGCCCCCTAGTATGCAATCAAAGTAACTAATAGAGTCCTGTAGCAGGCCATTCGCTACCCCAAATAGCTCAAAGGCAATGTCTTTGACTCTATCGATGGGTGGCGCGGGTTAGAATCTCAGGTGGAACATGAGTTCTTTCAGGAATGAAAATACGCCTTGCTAACTGGTGAGTGCTAACAAGCATGGAATCTAGGTCCAAGAATTCTTGCCGTTTGTATTAATCACCTAATGTATATCTTACATTAACAATAGATGGGAGTGGTGATTTTATGGGATAAGATATAAAATGCTGTTTTTTCTATTGTAGTTATTTTACAATGATTTACCTTATCTTAATGTTTATTCTAAAACTTATTGTATTAAAAACTGTTTCTTTCAATTTGCACGAATTTTGGTTCTGTTGTAAGAAATGACCACGTAACTGTAAGTCACTTAAAGCCTTTTTAACACCTGAAGTAATTAGCTACACCCACCTTGTGGATGTAATATGATTATTCTACTTTAGTTAAAGGCATTTATTCATATCATTCTAAAATTAGAGTTGCTGCCATGAATTTTCACTGATTTTAGTCGTCAGTAGTAGACATAGTGTCTTTCATCATGTGAAATACCTAGAGTTTATATTTTAATACAACTACACTTTAAAATAACCGGATAAATTTAAGCTGCCATAGTCATAGTGAATTACAAAGACAAAATGTCTGAGTAGCTATAAAAAAACTTTCAGAATATCTAGTATCTTGTAACCAACATAAATTTCATTATGAATACGGAATACATTTTGAATTAAGATTTGTTCAGCGAAAGTAATTTTTTTTAACCATATAGTCATGTCACTATATCTATCAGTGAAGGCTACTCTGCACACCTCAGCGATATAAAAGCCTATGAAATAGTCTGAAGATTGAATAACTCTCCTAAGATTATGGCTTCAAGCCATGTTTACAAATTGTTTTTTCACAAAAGGCGAAATAAAACTAAAAAATTCCATGATTGTTTCACCCTTTTTCCTTTAACCCAAAAAGAAATATAGTTTATTGTCTTTATAATCTTGTAGATTAGTACGTTAAATGCATTCACAACTTTCATTCATGATGTAGAATACTGTAGCCTTTCTGAGAAATGACCTGTGGTGTTCCTTTAATATTCGGGTATGATATAAGCCAGTAGTAAAACCTTGTTGTGGTTATTCAATTCATTTCCTCATCAAATCTTGAACTTTTGTAGGCATAGATTTCAAGGACAATTCAGACTACAGAATTAGTGTTAACTCTTCGATGTATCTTCACTACATTTAAAGTCATTTACCAGAAAGCTTTCTGAGCATAGACATATTTTATATATGTACATAATGCTTTCTGATTCACTTTGACAAAATTGAAGCTTAGGAGATAAGATATCAGTCTTTTTTACCAATGTTCTCATTCTTAATCTTAATACTACTGTAAGAGTGGCTTTAAAGTTGGACCAAAAGCTTTTGTGATTTTTCCGAGGAAACCAATGCTGTGAACATGAAACAAATTTTTTTCGTAGTGGAGGATATATGTAAGCTTCCAGGTGTATATTTCTAAATATTGGAATCTCATTAGCTGGATGTATGTGCATGGCAACGAACGATGATGTATTATACCTCTGAATGGGACGCGTTAATCTGTCCCAGTAACATCAGTGATGGAATGCAACATTGAGTACACTGAATTCTTTGAAATATTTCTTATATACTGTAATAATGGCATAAATTTGTAATTTCCGAAAGTACTATAGTACTGCAGCACATATTTTGAATTTATATATATATGTATTATATACATATGGATTCATTACGGAAATGAACATTAAATAACTCTTTCTGATTAGTGAATAAATAAATCTCAGATTTTGTCACATCCTCTTGGTTAGTTTGTAATATTGACTGTAAACGATCTAACTTTTCTGGTAGGTATTCAGTATTTTGAATTGTTTTTTACGTTTATTCTAAATATGAAACGATTCTGGATATGTCAGTTCGTTAATTGGTGTTATTGTTAGTTAAATAATGAACAACAATTCCTTTCCTCTTTTCAAATTAGTTTATCTGAAGTGTACCTAATCTCGGTAATTTTGTTTTAATGAAAAAATAGGTTTCTAATTAAGTTTCTATGGAAAACAATTCATAATTAGTGAAGCGAATAAATAGTTGATTCAAGACTATTAAAACAACATGCCTCTCAGGACTGTATACACATTCTAGGTATACTCATTAAAGTTAATGCAGAACCAGTTACAATCCAAAAACACATTATCGTTATCCAGTCTAAAAGCAATTCAGCGTAAATTCGATATTTAAAGCCTAAGAAATCTGAAAAATTTAATTTTATCCATCTTAGTTTATTTTCACTTAGTATTCTTACTCATATCTCATCCTTGTATATACTGATTTCACACCGCTATTGAGCCAAGAGAGATTTTCATGATGCTGTAATTATTGCACCAATTTATGTGCCTTTTAAATGATACATCAGAAGTAGCAGCCCAGAGGCTTCCAAAAGTATTGACTCCTCCAGTCCAACTCATTTTCCAATTAGAAAATTAGAAGAACTTTTATCCATAGAAAATACGGCAACTGTTTGAAGGTTCAATAATTCATTGAATCAAATAAATGTGGTTGAAACTAACAAAAATGATTGTAAAAACACAGTTTTTTTCGTTCAGTGAAGAAATTTCTTTTCAACGACTTCATTTTCAAACTGTACAGTCGTATTTATATTACAGAAGTGGCACTAGATAATTGCTCAGTCGATATACATATATATGTGGTAAGAATAGCGATAACTAAAATGTCAAAAGGCGTACAGTTGAAGTGGATAAATTACAGAATTATTAAAGATTGTTTCATAAGTGGATTGATGTCAAAAATGTTTTTAAAATGTCAAGTGTTGTCTAAAAATTAAAAAAAATTAGGAGTACGATTACGATAAGAATGAAGATGTGAATTGAAGTGGAAAGAATTCAAGTGGTAAAATAAAATAAAAACTAGAAAGAACATTGCTATGACCAAGGTAAAGAAAGGGATTTGACAAAACGTTTTTGAACACATAATTTAGGTTTCTGCTCATGTATAGCTAAAGCTTCGGCTATTATTGCTTTCGCAACAAAAGTTTCATCATTTTCACAATGAAAGTGAGGTGAAAAGTTACGGTTAAATATATTTGATACTATTAGCTGTCAAACCCCTTTAAACAGAGGATAGAACACATAAATCTGACATACTTTGCAAAACCTAGTTTTGATAAGTATAATGAGCGTTAAGACCAGCCACAATTGGAACACTGTCATTCCCTAGGATACAAAGACATCAGGTGATAGTTTGTTAATAAGGAAAACATTCACTCAGAGTTCACTGCTAATCACTAAAGAACGATAAAGGAGTTCTATTATGTTACCTTCCTAACAGCTATCATAAACTTGATTATAACCCGTTTCACACTTGATTTCTTCGAATATTCTGTAATAAGATTATATTATTTTTCAATTTTTGAACTATTGTTGGTGTACTTTGTTATGTTCCACTCAATAATTTTTGGGACAGGGTGCCTATGTTTTAGGCTACGGGCAGCTGCAGTCATTTATTATATTCTGTGAGCCAGTAACAAATTGAATCCTGAGTAGAAAATGGAACATATTTCATAACGAGAAAACCAGTATTTTGCAGATTAATAAAATCCTTATATCCGAAGGGATAGGTAGTTAGTCGTTCAGTTATTTGATTTAAATAAAGCAGGAACTACTGTTTATGCAGAATAAAATGGTACATTCATTGTTTACTTCTCATCAAGTGTTTACGGACCAAAGAAACTATTAATTCTATGCACAGAAGCAATTTTAACATACTTACGAGGAGGGTTCCCTTTTAAACTAAAAAACAATGTAGGCATACAACGACAATAATAGTAATCACGTTTTCCCAAACAACAATATTCACAAAGAATGGAATTTTTGGAGTTGCTTCGTCAAATGAAGCATCGGTGGCACAGCGGTTATGTCGCCCGCCGACCATGCACACGGTCCGGGGTTCGGTCCCCGGCCACAGGCGCACTCCTTTACCTCGCTAAGTCAGAAATAATGCTGGCAAAGAGTGAAGACTGGGTATGGGGCTAGCAACCCCATCCTGTAAAAACCAACACTGCTACAGAAACTTCAAGCCACTATCTTGAAGCCCTATGTTCCACTGGGAACGTGAAGGAAAGAAGAAAAAAATTAGTCAAATGAACGAAAGGATGCAACATCCAGTTACAATGGCAAGAAGAGACTAATAATTGAACACATGAATCGGGTTTCAGGCGCTTGACAAAGATTGCTTCGGAAAACCTAAGGAGAAGTGAACTTTTTTGCCTATTGATAATTATAAATGATCTTGAGACGTCCACCTCATGACCTGTGTTTAGGAGATACCTGTCAATGGCGCTTTTGAAAGTATTTTTTCCCTCGAGACTTAGGCTTTTTGGTACATGTTCAAAAATCGGAGTTATACCCTTCTTTCTATTCTTCCAATGTAACTGTCGACCTTTGATTGATTTAGAGTATTACGACATCCATCTGATACAGTTCAAACTGAACTTATAATCACATATGGAACATGATTTTTATTAAAGTAAAATAGAAAGCAGAAAAATGCTTAAAGTAGTAATTTCTTTCTTTCTGTGTTTTCAGTGTGGTATGGACGGCGAGTTTTGCATGGATGATATCAACTGTTGCGAAGAATACCAGTGCAATTCCAACAGTGAGTGATTTTTAGTTTCATTTCAGATAAAGTTTTTTTATTTTAAAATAAAGGGGTGAGAATGAATTTTTTTTAAGGCAAATATTATACATTTAAAGCATGGGCGTCGGTGGCACAGCAGTTGAGACGCTCGCCGACCATGTACATGGTCCGGGTAAGACTGGTAAAGAGGAAAGGTTGGGCATGAGGCTAGCAACCCAGTCCTGTAAAAATTAACACTGCTACAGAAACTTCAAGCGTCTAGCTTGGAGCCCTATGTTCCACTGGGAACGTGAAGGAAAAAAACGCATCACTGCTTGTACTAAAGTACTAGAAACAGATGAGAATGTCCAGTTTGATAGGGTTTCATGAATGAAGGGATAAAATGATATATATCAATAGAAACTCCATAGATTACGCCAGCTTCATCTGTGTCTCAGCTACGCGAAAGAAGACTAATACGGTTAAATTCATTAGTCACTTTCAGGAGGAAGGTCAACTATCTAACTTACAACTTTTTACACTGCTGTGATATCAGAATAACAAATAGCTATTATTATAATGCTAATTGAGCCTATTTTAGCTCTGTAATACTCTCCCGAATTGATTGTGTTTTTTAAAAGTAGATCTTTTTATGTAATGATAGCCATCCGTATGCGTCCTTAAGACACACTGTATCACATTTTCATACGATGAATTCACATGTGAGGCTTATTAATCATGATCTTGGTCACATTGGAAATATTCACACGACATGAAACAACAGTGTTATCCCTAAACAGGTTTATCAATTGGCTATACTGTGTATCTGAATCAAAAGAAATAAAATCACGTGAGATTAATGCAAGATGGTTATCAATTCAATTTTTCTAAAAATAAATCGTATTTTGATTTGGTCATTAACAGGAGGATACTGATACCAGACAGTTGTAAATCCAATCTACAGGTTTAAGATACACGAATTTTAAATACATACCTGATAGAAACCTATTGAATATCTTCGAAGATACGGTACATTTCAAGTTCCCTATATTGATTTCTTTCACTTCATCTTTTGACAAATATATGCCGATGGACAGTTCGTTTTCACATCTAAGAATAATTTTATTCCTTCGCGTCACAAATGTAATACAGGGCTGTAAGCCTCAACTTCGAAGTTTCACTAGAAGATATGTTGTTTTACGGGGTGGGGTTGCTGACCTTACACCAAACCATATCTCTTCACTAGGTTCACTATCGGCTAGCCGAGGTATATGAGTGCATCTGCCTGGAATCGAACTCTGATCCAGTGAGAGGTTGGCAAGCATTCTACTGCTGAACCAGTGATTTAAAATAATGTATTCTTATTATGGGGATTCCAAGTAGGAGAGATGTTATCAGAAATCAAACTTACCGTGCTCTCGTCTCAGTATACTTGCATAAGTAGAACTGAGGCAGTCATTTACTACCTGCAATCCCTCAGGTAGTTGAATTTGTATTACGTGTCTAAAGGGAAACTGTAATCTAATCAGATTTCAAGCGTGTTATATATATATATATATATCAAATTTTATTAGCAGCTGGAACATCTATTATTGCTTTTGCTATACTATGTCGGAGGAAATTTCGCTACAACATTTAACGTCGTCTCGATTCTGAGTTGATCAATTGCGTATTACCTAGGATATCATGTGATGTATACCACCACACTAATCTGACATTATTAAACACTTGAAGTTAAGGTATCCTTAAAATACCATCTGAATAAGATAATTTGAATAGATACGCCAGATTATTAGCTTTCCAATTCTACCCACATTTTAAAACTAACTACTTTAAAAAGAAACTGTCATACATCAGACGATAGTGCTCAGTGATTTAAATACTAAAAGAACATTTCATTAATCTAAACCCAGACTCGGAAGTCGAGTTCTGATTAACTACTTTGGAAAACTGATGGCGTACAAAATACAGTGAGATGAATGCGAATGTAAACGTTCTCAGGAGAAGTTTTAGCATAGTTTTTCTTGAAATTCAAAAAGTTTTGATTACAATATAGGATATGCATTGCACCAAAATTAGGGGAGATTAGAACTCAGAATGTACCGTGAAAATAATCTGTTGTACTAGGCTTTAGTTGTTTTAGTAATATTCATAATTCACTTGGATATCATCCTGTTGAAAACCGTTTATCACTAATTAAAGTTTTATAGACCACATTACCAGGTACTTTTGAAACGGAAGATATTGTTGAATAAAGAACATCTTAGTACTAAGAATAATTAAAGTCCTTATACTCACTCGTGTGTAGACTTTAATCTTGAGATATCACCGATGTGGAATTTGAATGGATGGTCTAAGTTGGCAATAACTCACTGTCAAAACTATGTGCAAACAACGACAGTAACCGTGGTTAATGTAAACGTAAGATTCTGGAACTCGTGAAATATTATTGTGTATTCGACATAACATACTATGATACAATATCAAAAACTGGATGACTTTTTGAACTCATTCTGAGGCTCATAATCATATCAGTGAGACAAAAATTGTGGCAAAAGCAAAACAGGGGACCAGTTAGAGAAAAAGTTCTGTCTTTAATAAAATTTCATTTTAAATGCCATGTTAATAAGCGTTAATTCATCGTTTTTGTCATAAAACACACAACACGTTTATTCTCACTCAACAGAATATAGCTAGTTTAAATATTCCCATCAATATAGAAAAAAACCCCATTTAGACATTTAGAAAACAGAAAGATGAGCGAAGAAATATTTACTTTTCAATTAGATCCGCGTCTCTGGCTCTACTCTAATATATATAGCATTTTTTTTACAATACAACAGTTTGCCAATCAAGTGGCAATACGTTTGTTAACAATAACTAAACAGTGTTAAAATGTCAGTGGGTTATTAATTAACAAAGAAAATCAATACACATTTAAAAGGTAGAAATGGTTAACACGTAACTAAAGACAAAGTGGTCAACATAAATAAAAATAAAATAAATAATTTAGACAATTATAATTTTTATAGGTTTAGGGAGAGGGGGCAACGTAGTCCTGTTTATGCTTCTTGTGACGGTGGCCACGGTAGGGAAAGTGGCTGTACAAATTTTTTCTGCACACACAGGCTTGGCTTCTTCAGGTGAATTCCGATTGCTTCAGCTGTCTGCAGAAGACGAACTCGCAGAGTAAAATAAAGATAAGTCGGAATGCGATAAATAATTTTAAATGCAGTATTCACATCAATCTTATGCTCAGTATCAACGAGGTGGGCTAAAATAGAACTACGAATAGATCCTTTTTGTCCCTTGCTTAACCACGTTGGATGATGTTCGGAAACACGACGATGAACTTGCCTAATTGTACGCTCAATGTAGTTGGCTCCGCAGCTGCAGTCAAACTGGTAGATACACATTAATGTAACTTTTTCCAACTTTAATCGTAGATACCTATATCAATTAGCTGTGAAGTGGTTTATATTTGAGAAATCAGCTAAAATATCGATTTCACTTCTTAAGCTTACTCTTTTTTATGCATGGTTGATGTGAAAATGAGACACAGGAATTGAGCATACAAGCAAACTTCATGGAAAAGGTAAATGAATATTCACAGTGACGTGGGTAAAATCAGATTAACTTCGTCCATCGAGTTCTGTTTTAAGTTTAATAGATTAGCGTTCGATAATTTACTCTAACTTACTAAGTGGAAGTTACAAGTTATTTGGTCTAAGATTTTGTAAAGTGGAGCATGTGATCCAAAGGAAGAAGTCCTTATGATGAAGCAATGCAGCTGTAAAATAATGCAAAATTCAATGTATGTGGTAAATATTTATTCTATATTTGAAAAAAATATTATGGAAATGATTTATTCAAATATTCAGAATATGCATTGGGAGGTTGAATAAATGAATTTTTATTATTTTCAAGTATTGGTTTGTAGGGATTTGATTGGTTGGTTTGGGGATTTCATCATGAGTTGACATCAGTTAGATAACCATTGGAAAACCTAAGAGTATTGGAAAGCCGTTTATTCCTGATTGGAGACTCTTCATGACTACGTATCCAGCAGGTTATTTCAGTAAACGTGACAGACAGTTAACAATATGGTATCGTTGATGGGTGAAAAGTGACTGTAAAATGAAACTGAGGTTCGTAGTAGGATTTTAACCAGTTGACTAAGAATAAATAATCCGACACTCTACCAGGTGAACTGCGAGACCCGATTGAGTGAGTTCGTTGTAACAGCAATCAATTTTAAAGACTAACAACCATATTATGACTATGTGAACTAAGCAGCCTTGTCAAACTTAAAACTTACCAGAATGTTAATTTTGATTCTTTTGTACTAATATCAAATAGGGAATCCTAGGTAAAATTAAGAAAGCAGGTTTTTTATCGAGTGAAATAAAGCATATGTAGCTGTTTTTATACCTTGAGGAATGATTTATTGATTACTGATATAGAATAAGATCAAAAAATGAGTTGCATTCTTTTTCAAAGACGCATCAACAAAAGGATAATAAGACTGCTGGTTACGGACAGATTTTCTTCACGCAGATGCAGTTTATTTTAGCAACTAAATTTTGTTATGATAAAGAAAGGAAGACGAAATTTGCAGTATTAAGTGGTATCATTTTATTTGACAGGTTCTCTTCATCTGCAGACTGCCTGAAATTACAATGGCTATATAGATGATAATAACATACTTTAACGTCTAAGTGATAGTAGAGAAGAAATATTATAAAACTGACGCATCCAAAATGTAAGGATTACAATTTTTAGCTTAAGTTTTCATCAATAATTTATACGCTTTCAAAGTAGAAAAGAGGGGACAAGGGACGGAAAACATAAAAAATTAACAAACAGTGTTAGCTTAAAGGTTCACATAGTAACTCAAAAAACGAAAGCGGTCACAGATTACAAGATTAAGATTTGCTCAGTGAGTTGAGGTCACTGAATTAGATGACTAATTAATGCAATCAAAATCAAAATTCAGTTATCAAGGGATTTTGTTATCCCCAGTGAATTTTGTAGTAGATATTACGTAAATAAATTGTCACAATTGATTTCTTAGAAAGTTGCCTATAATTTCCTAAACTTACAGTCTTCACTGTTATGGCTTTCGTTACTGCCGAACATGTTTTGTAAATCATTCAAATGGAGTACTTTACTTGTAGTATTTAAAGTGCTTTGAGTCGTCAGATCTTTCTGCAATGAAATCTTATGCCCATTTTGAATAGATTTTCTCACAGATTTTTCAAACCTAATGCTTTGTGTAATCAGATATATTTTAACCCTAAGCTTGTGTAAATCAATGAATGAATAAGTGGAAAGTGATGGATATCAAATATTTAAGTTTTATTTTGAAAGAAACTAGTATTAAAAAAAGGTCACTATTTTATAATTATTCCACTTTATCTATTGAAATCTTTCATAATGAACAGATGTAGCTATCAGAGGCATTGCCTTGAATACACGCTAATTTTAAAGACCTACAGAAATTTGTTTAGGTTTCTTTCAGATAAGGAAATTCATAAATCTTTATTCCATGAACCATATATGTAAATGTATATGAATACTAACGTAACAATTACTGCTAATATGAAATATTTGGATATTTTTGGAGTATACATATTTCCTGGTATGTTCAGAAACCTGTTAATTTGAATTAAATAAAGATAATACAGAAAAAAATGCTTTAACGCAAAGAGTTTTCCTCTAAGAGTTGACTCGTAGGGATTTGATGTGTTTTCCAGGTTGGCCATGAATTGATGTCATTTAAAACATCATTGTTCAGGGAGTATTGCATATCTGTTTCGTCGTTCTTTGGGACTCTCTCTCAGTACACACCCACTGGGTTTCGAACCGAAGACCTTCTGGTTACAGGCCAAGCTAGAAGACTATTCAACTACTGCGACCCAACGCCCTGGCATTCAATAGTTCTCTAACTGATATCAATTCGGGTTAAACTTGGAAAAGCACAGATTTCTGATAAGACAGCTGATCTCATTTTATAATATGAGATCTTTTAAAATCACAAAGTAATTCTTAATTAGCCACTGCATATTCGATAAACTTAGGCCTTTTTGTTATCTGTCTTTGACTACTTGTAATAGCGTCTCTGGACTGCATTGGTCATAATCTGAAACTCTGCATGATCAGGAGGACATGAACCTTTGAAGTTTAGTCGTTCGTTTGAATAATAAGTTGAATAAAGGTTTATTTAGCATTATTTCTTCTCTATAAAAAACAGTGATTTGCCTGAAGGTTGTCTGTCTTCACTACACAAAGCCTGGAGAAACAGAACGAAAACCACTTTCATCAGTTTCAAAACTCAATATTTGTTGCTATGTTATTAGCGTAATTAAGAATTCCTCCGTGCAGTATACATATTTGTATTCGTTGATACAAGATGATTAAAGGCAAACGACAGGAAGCCTTGGGCCTAGGTTTCTTGCTTGTTAGGACTCGTCAGGAAGATTTATTTGCAAACTTAATTACCAGAAGGGACATTAGTTCCTTGAAGGTTGCAGATATGCCTTGCTGACTTTCGAGTGCCAACTTGCTCTAAACCTAGATCCAGGATATCCTGGTGATTGCTTCCAACCATCTAATATAAACGGTTTAAAGTGCACCGTGATGGCGTGTCAGCCAGCATGGTGACTACATTTCAAACTTGATTGATAGAATTCAGTCTGTATCATTGATATAAGAATATTGCTTATTCATAGTGGTAGATGTGATTCCATTTCCCAATTGAAGGGGAAACTAATAATCAAAATATAAATAAGAGGGAATATAAGGCATCTACTGTTATACCTTATAAATAGGGGACATCTGAGACCCTACGTAGGATTGTTAATATAGCAGGAATTAGAGTGGCATTCAAACCTACAAACTCACTCAGTGACAAGCTCTGTAGGTTAAAAGACCTTTCTGACCCAGTTGGATGAAATAATATAATTTACAAAATACCTTGCAGTGACTGTGATGTCAACTACATAGGTCACACTAGTAGATCAGGGTAGTCAAACTGTCAGAACATAAGAAATTAGCTAAGTTATTAATGATTGATCCCACGATGATAAGTAATTTAGAAAAAAGCTCAGCAATTGCACTGTATGCATTAACATACAACCACACTGTAGCGTGAGAGAGGGTTCAAATTCTTAAAAGTAATATAGGTTGGTGGAGAGAGAGAGGTTGATTACTGAATCCTGGTTCATCGAGTCTACACACAACAGGTGCAATAGGAATGACTCATCACGCATACCGGAAATATGGAAAATACTACTATCAATCAAATCAAGAGGTAGAAAATAAAGGAATTATATAAACGAAATTAGAAGGTTGTGTGAGTAGTGTCTTGATATGATTATGAGCAAAAATAAATTGTGCTCGAAACGTCATCAGTAAATATTGCTGTATAACACTGTGAAAAGTTGTCAAAATAATATATTACCCATAATAGAATTCAGTCTGCACCAAAGACAGGACCTAGACACACTGTACTAGTTATTAGCTAGTATCCAATTAAAATATTTACTGTATACATTGTATACATACTGTAAACATTAATGTATAACACTGTGAGACTTTATCAATTACAAAATTTTACCCATAATGGAATTATTCTCAAGCACAGTGCAGAAGTTTTATTCTTATATCAAAATATTTACATTTCTCAGAAATATATATTCGCAGCTTTGATGACAATGAGAATTTTATGAGGGTAAGGACTTCGATAATTTTATCGAGCGAGTGTTTAGGTAATAAAAATAATAATAGCTTTATTCTAGACCAAATGTTTACACAGCGTACAGAATTCTCAGTGTAATTTATGGCATAGTAAAATGAACGACAGTAATTTGAAAGCCAGTTAAAAATGTGCTTGACTAGATTTAACAACTCAAGAATATAACTGAATTATTAAAATATTAAGAATTAGAGAACGTATGATAGATACATTGTGTTGCAGAGAAATTCATGTAACCCAATGACTTAAGCAGGTCACGAATAACCATTCCATGTAACTATGATTTATGTATAATCAAGGATGTATTAACAAACTGACCGGTAGTGATTAAAAACCTTAGCAGCATTATGTTTATCTCTCAGTGACTGGAGTTTCTGAACACATTTCACGAATGTGGTTCTAAAAGCAGAAGTCATAATAAAGCTGCAAGTTAAACTTCAGTTTGACAGCCTTGACATTCATCTAACGGAAGATGTCTTACAGTTTTCATTACAAGGAACAATACGCCCTTCCTATGAAAGATGTTTTCATCATAAATATAAATGATTTGTAATATGACTGTTGTTCTCAATGAACTAATAATGGTATTAATACTTAATCAAGATATGGTTTAAAAACTGACTGCAAAAAATTAGTCTTTTTCCTTCAGAAATTAGAAAAATCACTAATACCTAATGGGTTGAGAGACGAATGTCACTGTCTTTGTCAGTGAATACCTTTATTTCATTTAATTTCAGTGTTTATCATCACTAAGCTGAAGAAAGAAGCTTAAGCAAATTGATGGGGAATTTATTTGAACAACACAAATATGTTTTTCAGCTAAGACTTACTCTTTCCGGTGATACCATTCTCAAGCTATACAGTAGTACATATATGATAAATTGCCTTAACAACAAAAAGAATATTTCGGAAGATGTATCATTAGAAGTGTAAATTGTAGACCGCAAATTACGTAATATAACTACAAATAAGTAAAAGGGAACTTACTATACATATATGTGATCGTATAGCTTGAGAGATTTGTTTTTGTTTAAGAGTTCACATTGTCTAATTTTATTTCTTTAATTTCTATTCCTTCACGTTTCCAGTGGAACATAGGGCTTCAAGTGGGAGCTTTGAGGTTTCAGTAGCAGTGGTGCATATTTTAACGGGGTGATATCATTAGTCTCACACCTAATCTTCCCTCATTATCGGACCTACTATCTGCTTAGCGAGGTTTAGCAGTTCGTCAGCTGGGGATAGAATCCCGAATCACATGCATGGTTGGCAACCGTCCTACAGCTGAACCACCGACACAAACAGTGTCTAAAACTACAAAATTAAAATATTGTTTTATTTATTTATATAACTATTGATTCACTGATACCAAAGTATATAATTTGAAGCCTTGATTTCTCATTCTTAAATGAAAATCTTTCGTTAGAAATCTTGAAGATAAGTTAGTTTTGACTTTTTAATTTTGTGTCTAAAATTAGATTATGCGAACAGATCAAGGATCAGACAAACACTTTAAAGATTATTAAATATTTCATTTATTTGCTAAAGCTAGATTGCTGTATATGATGAAGTTTGCGGCGTAAACAATTTGTCATTATCTGACGGGTTGTATACTATAAAGAAACTATCAGTTTAAAGTTACATTAAAACACCTACATTACTTTTCATCAATTCTTAAGGTAGCGTTATACACAGGGTCAGTGATCGGCGCCCTTCTTTTCTGTATTTTCGAGCCTACTGTTGAAGGATTTTTCTCATTTAAAAACCTCAGATATGGTCGGATGAACATGACTAACATTTGACAGAAAAGCATAAAGTTAAGGCTGCTTAAAGAAAAGTAAATATTCAGAATATGTGTTTACTAAGAGGTCAAGCCGAACATTTTTAAGGTGGTTCATGTATACTTCATCGTGCTCTGTAGAACTTAATGTGTTAGTGAATGAATACAGTATTTGGCGTTACTTTCATCTATGCATTCCAGTGTCACTCAAGAATTACTTCTGAGCGGAAAAATAACGTTTTTTAAAGTGAGACTATTTGTATTCACATTTCGACACTTAACAAGCTAGTCATCGCTATCTGTGTGTATCTGTACTGCATTTGATTAATTCCAACTATTTTCGAATACATCACATTATAACACCAAACTTGAACTAATAAATCTTTTTAGCGAAATATATTAAAAATTAAAGTAAGACGGTTTAAAATTCTTTATTTGATTTGATACTACGCTTTATTGCTTTTTTTAAACTAAGTTTTCTTATATTTTATCCCAGTGGAATGTAAACCTAGGTCAACTGGAGACGACATTGAAAAATCAATTTCAATGGGATGCGTGACTGATATTGACTGTCCACATGGACTGTGCTGTGTAGGCAAACTATATGCACGAAAATGCAGCCGTGATTGCTTTAGAATTCCTGAAATAACACATACTCCAGCTGGAGGATATTATGGTCAACGATTTTGGAATATATGGGCCCACAAGCGTCAGTTGGATCGTCATCACTATTAACAGATCACAGGATAATTCTAAAAATAGAAAATGTTCGTTCATTCATTATCTAACTTCACTGACTTCCATTCATAATACATCTTCAAACATGGTTGTGACAAACATAAAAGGTTGTTATATAACCGGTTGTGATTATACATTATTTGTATTTTGTTTTGAAGGCAAAAAATTAATTTATTGTCCAAAAATTGGCTGATGGTATTGATATAAATATAATTAAAACATTCTTATTTTATTCTGTGTTGTTTTTGATTCACTTTTACTTGTCTTGAGTTCACTTGATGTAGCTCAGTCTCTCTGAATTCTTCTCCTCCGCATATCATATAGAGTTCGCTTTGATATTAGATCATTGAAGGCAACCGGCAGCAAGCCATGTACCTAGACTTAATGCTTGTTGGCAGTCACCAGTTAGCAAGGTGTATCTGCAACCTTGAAGGAACTCATGTCCCTTCTGAGATTCATACCCACATCACCAGTGCTTCAGTCAAAGACGTTCCTACTGAGCTGTTCAGCTTGGCGATGAACCTGCTGTTGGATGTCATTGGTTACTTTGATAGGAAACTGGTTAATAACATTGCACATTTGACTGAAAGAATTCAGTCTGCATCAAACATAGGACTAGACACATTACACAAGCTGCTAACTAGCTTTGAATCAGAGTTCACTTCATTGTTGTTGCTTAGACTGATAACGGAAGGAACTCAACGGAAAGATGCAGTAGAGAGTAGGTAATAACACACTATGATTCTGATTTCACCATTATGCATAAATAATCATTGTGTACAGATGCATACGTGTAATATTCTAACTGATATTTCCATTAACTAAAAATAGAGGTTACTGAGTCAGCAATGGAATATTATGCTCAGCTACATTTCTAACAGCAGAAAGCATATAACAGAAATGCGACTCAACGCACTAACAATGTGATTTCACTTTCACTTTAAGTGGATATCTTTGAATAAGTAGTTATGAATAGATGCAAAGTGAAGTACTTTGAAAACATTATTGATCAAAAGCCAAGATCGAGTCACAATGAGTTATGGAGTTATGAATTAATACAGCTTCTGCATCATGAAGATGATTATACTCTGAGTGAAGTTTTGACAAATGCTACGTGACCAGAAGTATTACTATTCTCCGAATTAAGTTGTTCTGCATTCTACTTTCAAAAACCTTGCCGAAAAGTGCTCATGGTCACTTCTAAATAATATCATGTTGGTACAGCCTGTGTACTTAACACCATGGAGGCAAGCCAACTAGTGAATGCTCAGTAAAATCGTTAACAGCGGCATCTTGTCTTTGACGTTTTGATGGACAAGAGCATGTGTGGAAAGATAAGTGTTGAGATGTACAGATGGAAGTTCTTGACAGATGGCTTCGAAACTTCACTAATTGTATTGTTCTTGAATTTTAGATTTATCATAAGTCGTTTCTTCGGCACATCCAGTTTTGCGAGTACAGGTCATTCTCTTTAATTTTTTAATTGTAAAAGAGGTCTGATATGTATTCTTTACTAAAGTGTTCCTGAGGATTATTATTATTATATCCTTTAATTCCTAGAGGAACATAGGGCTTCAGCTACGCGTCTCGATTGCTTCGGTTTTCCGCCAACCTTTTCACCCCGCTCCAAGTCTGCCCACATGCTTTCATCTCCTATTCACATGACCTCCTCCTGAGGGATACTAACTCCTTGTTCAGTATGTCTTTGGTGCAAATACGATAAATTCTCTTCATAAAGGAGGCTATGAGATTTCTTTTTCTGCCTGTTGGAACAAAACTGTAGAAGCCAAATTTGAAGTTGAATTAAAAGACAAATTATTCTTCTCAGATGTCCAGCTTCCAAGAAGAAAAGATTAATCTCTACAAAACTATTTCCCCCAAGCCAAAATGGAATCCACAGCTAAAACACTTCCATAGTGTTGTCACAATAAGTAGAAAAACAAATTTCATCTCTTGTGACCCCAAGTGTTCTTTGTAATGTTTCATAACCTATTTCGAGTTTTTGTATGCTTGTTTTCTATCAATCATTTCCAAATGATTATTCGTCACTTAAGCAATCAGCTGTCAACTTTCTCGATTACATGAGATTATTTGTCTTTTTTCACACATTGCTATTATTCATACACTTTTATTTATTGTGTTACGAACTGACGATAACCTTTGACTTCCGTTGTCAGTTAACAATGTACACACAAACCTATTAATAACTGTAAAGCTTCGAGGTGGAGTCACGGAAAGTAATATATTTTCCAAGTTTTATGTTCTGGATTAAAGATAACGTTTGTCTGAGACTACACAGAATAATTTAGTTTCCAATTATTGTTATTTGTTTTGTGAAATGATCTTGTCATCTGCTTAGTGCTTTTTAAATGACTAACAATTACAAAAAACGTTTTATTTGTATGTTTGGTTTTCTACCGGTATGCATTTCTAGTTTCTGCTAGCATTAAAAACATAAATTTGAGGTGTCTCGGTGACATTTTATGTTATGCTTCATTGATTAATAAGACCATGTATCTGAATTACACTTCCTTAATTATCATAAAGAGCTTGACTAGATGTCACTATGACTTCAATATTCGTTTAGATAAAATAGAAAAAGTCTGTAAAACCTCTGATATGACCGAGTGGATTATTTATTGCGTTATGCTATAGGCATCTCATTTTTATAAAACTATGTTTATTATAGAGACTTGGTGTTTGTTTTCCTACTTTTTTTATCCCTTTTTTGTGTTAAAACAATTTTCTCTTATTCGGTCCATTTCTACAATCTTCCGACAGATTTGTTATATGTTAACGAATTCAGAACCATTGTCGACTTTGTTGAAGAGCAACACTTTCGTTCGCTGCAGTCATCTTTTCGTTTTCCTGTGATCTAATGGGCTCATTCTTCTGTAGAAGGAAAATCCTTGATTCATTACTTATCTCCAAGATTTACAATGAGCCACGACAGCGACAACGGAATGGTGGTTCACAGGTAGAACGCTCCCCATGTACCAACGCACGTTTTTTCCTCGTTAGGCCAGCAGAAAGGACGGTAAGGCGGTAAGGTTGGGTGTGAGGTTAGCAACCCCGATCCGTGAAAGTAAAATCACTGGTACGGAAAATTCAAAGCTCTAGCTCGAAGCCTCGTTTTCCACTTGGGACTTAAGAAATAAAAAAATTAACTACAGTTATAAGATCAGTGATGAAGTCGAAGAACTCTGGCAAACGTCCACACTGAATAAATATTCTACAAGATTCTTCGACAAAATAATCAGAATAAAGCAACTGTACGAAGGAAGTCAGACAGCTCTGAAGACATTATTGTTCATGAATGTTGATTCTAAACACGATACTATGAATGAGATTCTGAAAGACTGTCTATCCAGATCATTGAGAAAACACTTTTCTCTGTTCCACTTTGTGTAAAATTCTCTAGTTGGTAAATATTTATTAGATGTTCGCATGACAAACTATTGTTTTAGATCATTTCATTTTAAGTCTGCAAATTTACTTACTCCTGTGGAAGTGATTATGTTTACCCCTCAAGCACACAATTTCCTAACACATAAGAGAATTGTCCGGTATGGCTATTAAAACAAAAATGCAAGTCAAACAATAGCTCAGTTATTCAGCTCCTGTTAAATTCATGTTGTACTATTAGAAAATACATCTAAGACAGATGGGATTTAATAACCATTAATTAAACAGTCAAACAGTTTTGCTTCAATCTCTGACATCTGAATTTTGGTGCTTCAACTAAAAAAATAACCCTATATAAATGGAAAACTACACAATCGGGAAAGAAACTAATTCAGTGAGATTTAAACGAAACCGAAAACACCTAACACAACTTAATATTATTTAGCTTTGAACAGTAAAATGCTCCTAGAATCCAAATTTTAATCAATGACAGATAAATAAATCGAAAAACGTGTATGCACCTCTTGTCTCTAGGTTGGCCACAACTCAGTGTTAGCGGAAGTTAGAAGTGGTTGGGAAAATGCGAGAACTTGTCAGAGCGAAATTTTGGAGTATATTCCTAGTTGGTTTCTGCTCACGTAAACGCTAGATTTTTACTTTCACGACTCTGCCTGTTGAGTATTGTATTCTACAGTATTGAGGGTGGCTTATTTTCTTATGCATAAACAAACAATTGGTTGTGTCAGAACGTAACTACACAATGTGTTTCATGAAGCAGGTGCCACTGTTTAAAATATGTCTGCCAGTGAATCTCCGTTTTTGAATGAGCAATTTGTTCGAAATCGGGAGTAGATATCGTTTCTCTGGTTACAGTCTGTTGAATTTATTACAGAACGTTTAGGATTTAAGTTTACAAACAGAAAACAGTCTTATAAGCATTCAGCTGTTACAGATTTGTGTTAGTTTGTTCTCTTCTATACTGGTAAGTATTCTTAGATCTTATCTCACCTCCTGACTCATCCAAATCTACCAACAGTTCTTCACTCTTCTTCAGTCTATATTACTAATCTATGTGCGTCGGTGGCACAGTGGTTAGGACTCTCGCCGACCATGCACATGGTCCCAGGTTCGATCCGCTGCCGACGTACACCTGATATCAATGGTCGGCCTCCAAAATTTGGGCTACCGATATCGCATACTGAAAATTCTATACTTGTACCAAAAATACAGTGTGGAATCAAGCTGTAATAAAAAAATATATTAGAGTAATGAAGCTCCAGACCTTTTCATAACTTCCATTACTTTCTGTAGAATATTCATTTGATGACTTTATGAATGTTACACCCTAAAGGAAATTGCTGCAACTTAATCCTGTGGTATTAACTGTGAACATATACATACAACTCTTCAGCAGTACTCATCCACCGGGATTCAAACCCAGGGTTCGAATCTCCTGTGGTGGGTACGTACTGATGAAGAGTCCCAAACTAGAACGAAACAGCTATCCAGTACTCCCAGTTGGTTTTCCAGTGGTTCTCTAACTAATGTCAGCTCATGATGAAATCCTGTAACCAATCAATCAAATATCTATAAACCAACTCTTGAATAACATACAACTCTTTTATCATCTCTTCTAATCAGCACATTCTTGGGAACTTTGTAAGATAGCAATTTGATTTCTGAAAAATTTTATGAAATGGCTAAAGAGAATACGTGTAGAAAAGAGCTGCAAATTCTGTCACAATTACTTTTCATATTCTAATCAACTTTTGTATAATTGGAAAATTTATACGGAATACAAGTGGGTATGCAGTTCTTAAATGAATGGATTAAAAAAATTTCTCATAAAGTGGAATAAGGAAGATAACTATTCATCGTATGGCTTTATGACTTTTCCACCCACACTTATATATATGTAGATCTATGCATTTTTTTTTATAGATGATTTTATCTAATCTCTTAAAGACAGAGATAAATAGTTATAACAAGATAACAATTCATACATTTATTATTATTATTCATATTTTACTAAGATTATACAGTATAAAAATTGGAATTCAATAGGAATGATCTGTTTAAATCTCAAGTGGTTATAGACATAATAAAAAGAAGGAGAAAGGAGGGAGTGTTGATCAAAATATTCGCAATAATAGAATATTTTATTTTTTTTTTCAATAGAAATTACAAAATAATTCTTTTTACCTCAGTCATATTCAACTAATGACCTTAATACAATATAAATAGAATTGTTAACAATAAGGATAACAATATAAATCAGGGAAGTGTTGGCATAATAATAATAATAGTAATAAGACCGTTGAAAAGGATAATCAAATTTTGTCGTTGCATACTGAATATAGCAAAAAAAGAGAAATGCATAGTCTGGTAAATAATATATATTGCACAAAGACATATGAAGACTCGTTTCTTCATCTTTGTCTTCTTCTTCTCTCCCTCACTATCATACTTCTCTTAACTTAGTCAAGTTATACAATAATCAATCAGGTTGTGTGAACTAAAAATAAATACTGACAATAAATAGAGCAGATTTCAAATCTTTTTAACCCATTTACACAGATTTCAAATACTTATACAACAGTTTTATAATCATAGCATATTGTTTAAAATCGTCTGAACAAAAGCATGATAAAGTCCACAAAAGAAAAATTAAAAGATAGCTGCATAGAAATAAAATATTCTTCTTCTTATTATCATTATTATTATTATGAATATAGTCATATTGAGTAGATTTCAGTAATCACTGAACGTGTCTCAGCAAAAAAACACACATAACTCTGTCTTTCTTAATATATATTCATGCATACACAAATATTTGCATAAATAGCGTTAATCTAGATCTGAAATGCTAATATATATATATATATATATATATATATATCTTTTTATATAACAGAAACACGATTTCATTTATGCTTCAATTACAACGTATGTATGAATATTTTGTAGTAATATCTTCTTATCAATGCTTTTCTTTTTTACTTCTTATATTTTGAAATGCTTTTGCTTGTATTTTGACTTATTACAAAACTCTGAAATTTAATTAAAGAAAAAACATAGATAAATTGCTTCTTTTTTGTTTCAGTCTGTACATTAGAATGGATAATATGATATAAAAGGATGAAATAATGAACAAATGACAGCAGGGTGTTTCACTCTTATGAAATGTTCTGCATGATTTCTCATTTGAACTGATTGATATTTTGACATCTTTTGAAAGGCGTTGTCTAATTCATTCTAAATAAGTATAAAATAAAAACGGAAATATATATATATATAGAGAGAGAAGTATACTTACAAAAAAAGGGAACAACTACTTTTTCAAAGTTAGTATACAAGTGAATTGTGTGTTTCTGTGTAATAAAAGTCTAAGTAAAGGAGAGAATAAGTCTCTAGTCATAAATAGTTTTGAAACTGTGTTTTATGAATGCTGAATTTTAATATTATTATACTTATAGTCTGGATCTATTGATGTGAATAGGCTCTGGTTTTTTATTTCCCACTTATCATTCCTCAGCTAAAGTCTACATAATACAAAGGATAAAGTTATCGATGAATTTTTTAAAGATAACTCAGTATTATTTAACCGTCAAGTGGTGTCACCTATATGGCCACCCATACAGAAAGGTGAAAAGCGAAAATAGAGGTTTCATTTCAGCTAAGGTGTGTGGAGAGATTTCAGTCTCCAGCATATTAGTATTTGGAGATTATTTCCTTTCGAATCGGAAAAAATATGGTAGCAAAACACGATCCTTCTTCACTGAAATCAAATTCATTACTTTAGATCTTAGCAGGAAACTATATACTATTGATTGACTGAGATGAGCAGTTGTATACCACTCATACCAATCGATAGTGCTTGCTAGCGATATCTAAATGATCTAAGCACCGAATATCTATTTTCCTCACTTGGGTTGGGATCATTAACAGTGTACACAGTTGGACTCAGTTCAAAGAGCCAAATCAATTCAAACTGCCCGATTCATAATGTCTGATTAGTGCTTGACCTGACTCATAATCACTACCAGTATGAATGGTATGCAATTACTCATCTCAGTCTACCATTAGTATATAATTCTATGCAAATATGCCTGCTTTCTTGATTACAACTGATGTCATCAAGTAGATCACACACTGTGATTTCAACTTTAACTTGGTTTAGTCAAATATCCCACTTCTTCAGTAATGCCTACTACAGTCTAATTGATCGTGTTCTCAACACTTTACAAGCTTTTTAAATTTAATGCAATCGTCTTCCGAATGAAGTTACTGAAATTAGTGGAAACAAGGGTGAAGAATTTTCAGAATTTAAGTTCATCTCATATAATGTTTTTCATCCCAATCAGCATTTACTACTTTATCTTTCACCCTGTTTTATAATATGTTGCATTTCCCCAAAGGCTCACTTGGAAGCTTCTCAACGGAGACAATTTCTTCTCATCTGCTTTTCTGGAGCATGTAGAGCGTAAAGATGAAATCCTCACGTATATATATATATATATAATTTGGTAAATAGTTTTATGCTACTTTTATGTTTCTCAGTAGATCAACAGCCGCCTTTTAATTTTATCACCATATTATCATGAAAGCTATTTAGCTGCATTAAAGTGTGTTGCTGTATACAACAGTTTAGTCAATACCAGAAAACCCTGACTGACTTATGACTGCGTAACAGTTTCAATTATAAAATCGATTTTTATCAGTCGAAAATTTCAAACAAAATTATAATACAGTATATAAGTGAGAAACACAAACCATGATACATTTTCCATGTGTAATTTTATCACTAATTCTAAATTTAAATCATCAAATGCAATATCAAAAAAAAAACAGAAATACTAACATTACGTTATTTAAGTTTTGAATTATTTGCCGAAAAGGCGACATTTTTTCGTTTATTTCAGCCAGGATTAACTTATATTGTAACTAATAAACTGTAATCAATTTTTTATGTGTTTCTTATATTTAATACGCTTGAATAAACAAAATGCCGAAATTAGCAGGAAACGATGAGTCTCGTGATTTTGTCTAAGCATTTTAAATGCTGTGCAAAATTTGGAAGGAAATTATTCAGAACGTTCTGAGAGTCTAGTGAATGTTTTAATATGTGGTTTGTGGATAAAGACATTCAGTGGTTTCAAAAAAATTAGTAGATAGACAGTTCCAGAGATTTTAAGGACACGTGAACCAGTATTTAATGGGTAAAATAAGCTCTGTCTAAATGCAATAGACAGATTTTAACAAAATCAGAGAAGAATTCACACTTTTAATGAGTGATATATAAATGGAAAAATAAAGGAGTAAGCGTGAAGGTTCCATACACAAAAAACGTTATCAGTTAACTGCCCATTCAAAACCTAAAGAAATATATATTCTTTTATCACCTCTAGATACAGCGCTGCTGGTTGATTATTATTATTGTATTCTTTAATTCCTAGAGGAACATAGGGCTTCAGCTACGCGTCTCGATTGCTTTCGGTTTTCTGCTAACTTTATCACTCCGCTCAAAGTCTTCCCACACGCTTTCATCTCCTCTTCACATGACCTCCTCCAAGTCACCCTTGCACTGACGAACAACTCGCCGCTTCCCATTAGGGTTCCATCCTAGTAATAGGCTAGCGTTTGATGTCACTTGATGGTTTCCTCAGCGTATGGCCAATCCATCTCCATTTTTTCCTGCATATTTGTTTCACAATCGGTTCCTGGTGTGTTGGTTCGCCCATTGCCAGAGATCCCTGTTGCTGATCTTTTCTGGCCGGCCATCTGATCTTGAGTATTGAGCGAAGACAACTGTTAATGAAGGTCTGAAGTTTGTTTCAGATGCTCTTTATGACTCACCAAGTCTCTGATTCGTATATAGCACTGACTGACTTTCCACTAGAGTTGAAAATACGGATGTTATTTATGATTCTGAGTGCTGTTGACCTCCACACAGACTTGAAAGTAATGAAAGCTTGTCTTGCTTTCCCGGTCCTCGCTGCTTTGATATCCTCGTCAGTTCCGCTTCCCAGGTAGGTGAAGGAGGTTGTTTCTTTCAGACTCCTTCCATTTATGCCAGCTGATTGTTGTCTGTTGTTGTTGTTGCTGTTGGTGTTTCCCAGGATTCTTAATCACCTCTGTTTTATCTTTGTTCACTTGAAGTACTATCTTTGATGCTTCTTCTGCCAAGTTGTCGCTTTTCACTTGCATATATTCCAGTTTGTGGGAAATCATACAATATCGTCGGTGAAGTCCAGATCCTCCAAGTTTTTTGTATGGGTCCATTTTATGCCTGTTTCCTCACTGCCTGTTGTCTGTCAAATTATCCAGTCTACTGCAGTCAGGAAGATCATTGGTGATAGTAGACAGCCTTGTCTCACTCCCGCCCTCACTTCGAAGGCTTCCGTAAGTTTCCCGTTGTGGATTACTTGGCATGCAGCATTGTCGTATAGCTGTTGGATGAGATGTATAATTGTCGGTGGGACCTCGTAGTAGCGAAGCAGTTGCCAAGTGATCACTCGATCGACGCTGTCGAAGGCCTTTCCAAGGTCGATAAAGTTGAGATAGAGAAGTGACTGCAATTCCAAGCTTCGTTCAATGATGATCCGTAGAGTGGTGATTTGATCAATACATGACTTGTTTCTCCTGAATCCGGCCTGTTCCGGTCGAAGTTTTTCATCTAGGGCTTGTTTGATTCTCTCCAGGATGATTCAGCTTAGTATTTTGCTTGGGATGGACAGTAGCATAATTCCGCGCCAGTTTTTTCATTGACTTAAGTCTCTTTTCTTTGGAAGTTTGAATAAGTATCCGTTCTTCCAATCCTCGGGTACTTTGCCCTCTTTCCACACCTTTTCCAGCAATGGCGTCATCAAGTCCGCTGTTGTCTCTGGGTCCATTTTCAATGCTTCTGCTGGGATCCCGTCTGGTCCTGCTGCTATTCGAGCTTTTAGCATCTTGATTGCATTCAGAACTTCTGATTTCGTTGGGGGGTTGATGTTCACTAGTAGGTCTGCTCCCGTTGTTGGTATTGTTGGGCGCGTTGTAGGTGGCGGACGATTTAGAAGTCTTTTGAAATGTTCAGTCCAGTGTTTTCTTTGCTCTACTTCTTTGTTGATTGACCTTCCATTGTCATCCTTTACTGGTTTGATATATAGTGTTAATTATTCTGCACAACCGAAGTATGTTGATAATGTATGGGAAACCTTACTTCACTCGGTCTGATTGTTAGAGCATACGCTGAAGACCATTTTAACAGTAATGATGTCGGTAATAGCTCTATTCTGAATAACATTTATATTATGTACAGAATTTCCAGCGGAGTGTATTGCATGATATTTTATCTTCATCCAGGATCTTCAAATAAAAGAACAATTAACATTAGATGGTGTGACACACTTCCATCTGACCAGAAGTGCAAACCAATTAATTATGATACTTTTTTTTGTCTCCGAGAAATATACGATATTTAATTGAATTCCAATTATAAAAAGCTCAAGAGTACATTTTGTGAACCAAAGACACTACTCGGGAATTGTCATCGCATGTACTGGGATAAACTACCATCGAAGATAATGCATATTTACACGTTTACTAGAAACTTGCTAATTAGAAGGTCACCAGAGTAAACAACACTATTACAGGACATATATATATTACTAGATTTAAACAAAAGTGAATAAGAGGAACTATATGCAATATATTCTGATGGAGATTTTCGACGGCCCAAGTGATAAGCTTGGTATATTGCTTACTATTTTCATACTCCAATTATACCTAAATATTTTGCAATAAATTCATATCATACCTCAAGGCGTTTATTCGTCATTTGCGTCGAATAACGACAACTTACCTAATTCATAATATGGAGTCTGAAACTGACAGCTGATCAAAGCTTTGCGTGCACAATTCGCTGAGTTATTTTTCCCATATTCCTTTTGTCAGCTAAAAATATCTCACTAGTGAATTTCGTTTGTGAAAAGAAAACATTATGTGAAAGAATTTTAGGCAGTCAATGAGTGCATTCTGAGTAGTATTAGTATTTCATTTACGTATATTTTTAAGGGGATGGATAGCTTTCATTTCTTGAATTTCTCAGGGATATCTTAATATTTTCGAGCGTCTTCGACCGTGTGTACATGATTTTGGACGTGACAGTTGTATTTTTTCGATCATCCTAAGGTAGCTCATTCTTACTGAAAGTAATGAAGACTTATTGTCTAGTGTCCACTGTATATTCATCACTGAGTTTCTGTTATGTTGTCCGTCCTCTAAATTATTATGCTATTTTACAGACATATAGGCTTGTGGTTAAAACAATTAATTTAGCATCTGCATTATCTTTCTTGGCCGAATGAACATTAACCAGTCAGCCAATAATCTATATCTTCGTTTATAGGAAATAGTTACAGAAACGACTGCTAGATTTAAGGATTGTAGCGTAAAACTCAAAATGTGTCAAGTTCAGTACTACAAGTTGATATGCTAATCATATATAGTAGGCATAGGAAATTTTTTGGATTAAGATACTTGACATGTAACAATTTTTGTAATATATTAAACATTGTCCTGAAAACTGAAATTGAATAATAAACATATTGTAACAACAGAAGACAAGGGCCAGGCAACAGATAGTTTATTATAGAAATCAACACGTATTTATATATTTTCATGTACATTATTAAACCTTATTCAAGCGGACGAACACACACTTCTGATTGGTTGTTTCTCACAGACAGTTAACTTTGGATCTCTTTATGACTGTTTCTTGAATGTCAGATCATCTATATGTTAACTGTATCCGCCTACGCAAAGTGTGCTGTGGCTGTTTGTTGAATCAGTCTTTGTTCATATATTTCTCACGAACAATATTAGCGACATAAACATTGACGTAAAATGCTGTCTACCACTTTTGGCTAGCAGTCACCTCTCACCACAATAGGACGACAAGTAATCAAAAATTAATCGTCGAATTTACTGTCCTGTGCACTTATGTCAATGAAATGTAACAAAGCGAGTCTTTTAAAAGAATTTTTTAGCCTCTATATGCATTTTTAATCCATTTATGTTAAGTATGAAAAAATTGATGCAAAACTCACCAAACTGTGAAAAAAGAGTCAGTTTTTCTTAAACCTTCTGTCTGACTGTGACGGTTCGTTAGGAAGAAAAGCATAGTTGTCGTCAGACATACCTGGACCTCTGTAATGTCCACTTCGGGAAAGATTTGTATTCAAAGGAGGTTGATTTTGCGTATTATTGGTGACCTGGCTGGTTGATACAGGATGTCGTTTGTCAATATTCCTTTGTGATCTTGATGGAATAGGTGGTGCTCCATTTATACTTTCAGATACTGCTGTGATATTTCTACTTGTTGTGAGCTTTTGATTTTGTTGTACACCTATAGCACTTGGTCTGTAAGATGATTCACCAAGTGAAGAGTCAACCGTGTCAAATTGGTTTTCATAGTAGGCTGGTTCAGGTCTTTCAACAGAAGCAATCCAACTAGCCGCTGTATCATAATTCATAATGGAATTTTTTGATGCCACTGAAGTATTTTGATTTACTGGTCGATAAGGAAGAAGCAGTCTATTGAGTTCACGCTCAAGTTTATGTCTACAAACATTAGCAAAAATACGCAAAATTATTCACTGTTTTGGCAATGTGATGATTATTTAATTTAAAGTGTAGCAAAGCTTTTCACGGATAACTTAAAAATATATTATTGAAGCTTTCTGAAAAACCAGGACTTTTTATATGTGGATTACTTGATTTCTTTGTAGGATAGAGAGGACATATTCAGTGTGCCTGAAGTCGTTGATACCTTGTAAAATACTGAAAATTTACTGTTACAACTCCATCATAAGCTTCCTCATTGACAAATTACGTCTCAGCGTTTAGATACAACGAATCAACTTCATAAATAGTTAAAAGTGTTAAAGAACGTCTTTCAGACACCTTATGATATAAGCAGCTGGCCAAAAGTGTAGAAAATAAGAAAATCAGGGTGAGAAAGCAACTAGTTATCGGTTACTGAGTCAAATAACGAAAGAAGATGCACGCTTTTCTGTTATGATAGCATTATTAATAATACCTTTGTTCTAGATGGTATGTATACACGATACAGAAAATTTACTCTTCATGAAAGTATAACAAATGAAACAATCTTCTACCTAAAGCAAGATCATATCAAATACGTTTTTTTTCATTTCTTTTGAGAACTGCTCAGTAATAGATTGAAGCTGATTAAAAATATGCGTGAGTAGACGTCATGACAAAAGGATATAATTCGATCATTAAAACACTAAGAAGTGAAAAAACGTTGACTGCATTATTTTAGAAGGATATTTAGGTAGTCAAGTGATTCATGCAAGCCACCGTTAACCAGTTTCTAGACATCATTTTATTCAAAGGTCATTCATCGCTTTTCTGCTTATGTATGCGAAGACAATGTGAAAACAGAAGATGAAATTTGTCAGATGGATGACGTCTTCATCACATATCCATTTGTTCCCAAGCTTGAAATATTAGTTTACATATTCACATGGTGAATTGAAGTTTCTGTAGCGGTTTGGTTGAGTTTTGTGGGTGGAATTGCTAGCACCACGCCCCAACCCTCCCTCTTAATCCGGGCTTGGTCCCGGCTAGAAAACTAGCAAGCTAGTAATCCAGGCGAGGAGAAGATCGTGTGAAGAGGAATTGAAACAGTATGGACTAACATGGATGCAGGTGAAAATCACAGCAGAAGGAAGACAGAAGCAAGTGGAGACGTGCAGCTGAAGCCCTATGTTCCACTAGGAGCCCAAGGGAACAATAATAATATTCATGGTGTCAATACAAGATTTTTAAAACAATTATTACTTAAAATGTGAAGACTAGAACGTTCGGAAAGAATTCATATATACATAAGATATAATATTAGATATAATGGAGGAGATTTGTAGCTTTGTGGTCGATTTGACCGACTAATTCTTCTTTTAAAAGTAGAACATTGGAATGTGACAAAAAAACATCTCGTGTTTCGTAATCTCGAATTAAATATAGGCCAGTTTTGTTGCCAGTGTTGAATTTCAGTCAGCTCATTTTCAAGCATTCCACTGATATGTTCAGTTCACGCGACCTATTCATTTCATATTTGAACTCAAACGGAAATATTATTCATAAATTATGAAAATTTCTGGATAAATTACAGTTGCTACATATCCAGAAGTTGTGTTGTATATGTAAGCAGATTTCAGTAGATAGCTCGTGACAAATCGAGTGGACATATTCTTGTTTGAAAATTAGGCAACATGTGAATGCTGAATACGACATGGTAATACTTGGAGATCTTTAGACTTTTGCTGAAAACTGAGCCATAACTCTCAAAATAGTCATATATATTATAGTTTTTTTTCAATAAATTCATAGACTGGAACTATTGGTATGTATTTATGCGTTTAAAAAAAAGAATAAAGCTTTGGAAATAGTTGCATAGCGGATTGACACACCATCAAGAAATTCATCTTATTGCATTGAATATTCACTATCTTAACCAGGAGATACAAAAATACGACTTAAATAAACAAAGGGTAGTTAAGAGAAATTAGTTTCAATAATAAAGGAAATGTGAAGAAGGATAGGGGAGAATTTGTCACAAACCTAGTGGATTCCGTTGTACACAGAGTAGGAAAAGAATTACAGTAGCAAGGGGAACAGAACAATAAACCCTTTGTGTATACTGTTCAGAAGATCAGATAAATGTGTAAAAATTGTTTGTAATGGATAGATAAAAACCTTGAAAAATTTACACGTTTTTCTGGAAAAATATCTTAAGATGTTTTATGGCCTCATATAATTTTAGGTTGTTTATTTATGACGTTCTTTATACATTAGTGATTTGGTAAACTTGTAGCTTGAGCGGTATTGCCTATTGTTTATTGCTAACTGAATCATTGTTTGGGGGAGGGGATAACATTATAACAGTTGAACGGTCACTGTGCATCGATTGTTAAAAGATAGAATATCTGTCAAACATGCACTTGATCTGGGTTACATTCCCTACTAAGGCACTGCTATAACTAACATAATCAGTATCAAATCCGGTAGAGAGAGATGGCTGGATATCAGATTAGCAATTTGAAGCCGTAAAAGCAAAATGACTGTTACTGAAACTTCAAAGGAGGTTTTAGTATATGTTTTGGATGAAATTGTTTGAAAAGCTATGGTTTATCTTTCCTTAGGTTCTTCACTGCGGTTTTAGGGGTTTTACAATCAAGTAAGACGTCAGAACATTGGCACCAATCCATGCATGGAAATTTAAAACATCAATAAACATTTTTACATGAAAAATTATTTCAATCCACCCAACTATATCAGCTTATAGTTTCCTCTTCTTCTTCTTCTGAAACTGTGAGTATTTATCACGTGTCACACGAATATAATTCATAAAAAAAAGCTGAATCATCACAAATACATACCTCATTTGTACATCTGAATTCGGTATTTGCAAAACCAATGCGAGTGAATTTGCGTCAAAATCAGGATCTAAAGCCATTAAAGCACCGTGGACACCGGAGTCGACAAGATTTTTCGCATATTCACCGAAACCTATACCTCGAAGCCATATGATAACTCTTTCATTACTCCATACGAGTAAATCTAAAATTCACAATTGGAAATTTACCGTTTATACATGTATATATGTTTAAATAATTTTTGGAAAAACGAATCAAATCTTGATTTTCTTTGCGTATTCTAAGCCTAGAATATCAAGTATTTATTACTAAATACTATAATTGAGTAATACAGGCGTTAAGTTTGGCAGCCTAAGAAAGCACCCCTTTTTATCCTTATCAAAACGTGATTCATGTGAGCTGTTGATGTTGTGCAGTGAATATTGTTGATTGAATTCAGTTTAAGGCAGCTAAGGTCCCCATTGTTTGAAAAAATTTTGACAGAGATATTTCACAACATATTGAATTACTGCTGAACGGCTGATTGTCTTTGTTTTAGTATCTTGCTAGTGTTATGTCTGGCTTCATTAGACAAAGAAAATGGAATTCTATGGGAAATTCCAAAAATACAGAATATTTAGGCGAATGACAGTTCCCCTCATTGCATTTTGTTGAATATATTCATAAATTATATATTTCGTATTCCATAAATTGTCTAAAAAGTTGTCTCCTTCTTAGTAGCTAGTGATTTAGGCAATATTAAGATCAGTTATAGCAGAAAATTAACATTAGTTAGACAATGAATGAAAACCAAGGATGACTAGACAGCTGTTTTCCCTAGTTCGATATTTAATAAGCGATTTACAGACTTGTGAAGAAGGAAACCCTTCGACAGTATTACGCGGAATTCACTTCGCTTTCCTTCTCCACTCACATATATGCATATATATATCAGAATACAGACCAGGCGCCAAGATGAAAAAAACTGAATGAAGTTTCGAGCACAATTAATAACTCAGTTATAAAAATGTGAGTCAAAATTGTCAGGGAATAGAAACGTAGAAAATAAAGACTCGCATGTTTATTGGTCATCTGGGGGATGGTTGGTTTCAAACGCCTTGATTATAGAAAAGTCTTATCTGTAGTTATTTTCCAACAATGCACACAATGTCTTGATGAAGGAATATCTAAACCTCGCCTTTGTATTCAAGTTCAGATTAGTCTATGGGGGTGCATTTCATAAGAGTTTGGGTGTTTGTCTAACCAAACGGAGTCATGCGGTGTACTAGTGTCTTTTCAATAACTGCATGCAATTCGTCCCATTAATAAACTTGAACAAAGAAAGAAAACAATGTTATGTACTGGTCGAGAATTTAATAGTCCTGACGCAAGAAAGACGGAAATCAGAAGACCACTAGGTTTGCGATGAAACTTCTATTTTCCAAACACAAGGAGAATCAATATTGTCAGACAAGAGTGTGAGAGCAAAAATATATGAATGTCCGAACAAGTGTGTCAACACGTGTGTGTGAGCGAATATTCAAAATGAACAAATCAATAGACAGTCTTAACATGATTGGCTAATTATAATGGAATATCGATCCATATATACATAGCAAAATATATCAGACTGTCAAACAAACACACATATTATATGGATACATATCAAACAATTTTACCAGGATAATATGAGCTCATCTTTTATTATTTCGAGGATTCTTCTCAACTGGTTACAACTTTTCCACCATCATAAGGAGTAATTGGTAGGAATTAAAAGTAACATTAGTTCGGAATTATTTAACTGTTTAGGAATTACAAACACTGACTATTTATAGAATAATTAGATAATTAGGCTTTGAAACAAAAAACAGGGTTGTGTATATATGTGTGTGTATAGACACAAGATTTAGCCATCAAACGACTTAAACCAAATCTATGTATGCAGAAAGAGACAGTGGTGAATCTTCCACTGCCCTGGTAATAACAAAAAAATATACAACTTTCATGAGTCACCTTTTTCATGTTTAGAAAACTCTACTCTCTCATCTAAACATGACTCACCCTACCTTGTTTCTTTTCTTTCCTTTTTTTATTGGCTATTAGATAAGATGCTTTCTTTAGTTACGTAATCTACTTTTTTGTCATGCTCTTTCTAGCTAAACCTTGTTTCTATACACACACATATATACACAACCCTGTTTTTTGTTTCAAAGCCTAATTATCTAATTATTCTATAAATAGTCAGTGTTTGTAACTCCTAATCAGTTAAATAATTCCGAACTAATGTTACTTTTAATTCCTACCAATTACTCCTTATGATGGTGGAAAAGTTGTAACCAGTTGAGAAGAATCCTCGAAATAATAAAAGATGAGTTCATATTATCCTGGTAAAATTGTTGTTCTTGCTTTGTTCAAGTGTCTTTTCAGTTTGAATACTGAATGAACAGAACATTCGCCTGCTCGCCTATTTCACTACAAAAAGTTTTTAAACACATTCATTCCATATTGAATTGGATGGCGAAGTTAAACGAAATCTGGCTAACCAGTTTAATTAAAACGTACAAAAAAGAAACGAGGACCTTTAGTAATTTCATTTCGTTACTCACCATTTAGGCTATTCTGACTTGCTTCCCGACGTTTTTCAAGTTCAGCTCGATCATAATCCAAACGTTTGAGACACATAATTCCATAGTAAAGACTCAAGCGATGAAATTGATCGACCATCTTTAAGTGTGTTCTTAAATCACGCTTAGTTAAATGACTTAACATACGAGCGTCAACAAGACACTCCATAAACGCTGATCTGTATCTTGCTAAACCAAGACTTGGTAACCAAACATTGCCAATCCATTCGTGATTCAACTCACCCTGTTATAAGAAGAGAACAATAATAATAGTGATTAAATTTAGAATTTAGATCATTTTGTAACGTTAGTAAGCTCACATCAGAAACAAAAGTGAAGTGAATGATAATAATCATGAGCATTTTACTAATTTTCAAATAAAATACTAATGGAGAAATGTAAACAGACGTTAAGAAGTGATCTAAATATCACATTGTATACATCTGTTGTCACAGTGGTATTCACATCTGTAAAGATGAACATTTATTTGTTAGTCCATCTGGTTATGGCGTCCGATGTAACATATGTAGGTGAAACTTTATGTTCACTTGGTAAGGCTGATTTAAGATTATTCATCCTAGCAATTAGGATTAGTAATTTAGCGAGTCACTTTAAATTACGCTTCCCTGTCTTTCTTAACCGGGACACCATTGAAGGAATTTCAAAACATTGCATAGAAATAATTCTAGCTGATGTTTAGTGTCAGCGATAACACTAATTATGTGATCATTTTACGATTCGGTCATTATCAGTGGTTTCGTGATATCTCCTTTGTGGGAATATTATTGGGTTATACTCTTCAGATCTTCTATCTGCGCGGATTCGATTGGTTTAAAGGTTAGTTTTGTTATTGATTGACATGGCTTAAAATAATAACTCACTAATAATTAGTGAAAACTTAGTGCAAGATTCCCCGGAGTTCTGGAGAGAAAAGTTGTAACGGAGAAGTTGATGGGAAAATCCCACGTGAACAATCTAAACACATTATTTACATGTATTTAGGTGTTTCAACTAACTCTGTAATTATTATCTGTTTTTCTCATGGCCTGTATACCATTTTTTCTGACATTTGAATATCATATATTGACTTGATCCTCAATATTTGTATTTTTCACTGTTTAATCTGTAGTTTTGTTGCTTCTCTTTGTGGTGTGTACCCTGATAATGTGCTGTATGTAATGATTTTGTTCGAATAAATCAAGGTCATTCTTATCTAGAACTGTCTTCAGAAAGCATGATTCTTTAAGGACAGCTTTTGATCCCAACGTTTTCGGAATGTTTCACCTGAATCTAAGTATTCGTTTTGTACCTAGATTTGGCTGTATAGCTAATGCCTAATGGTGCAGTTGAGGTAATTTTGAGTTTTCGAAGTTATTATTGAATAGAACCACACATAGATTCTAATCACAACCAATCGTCTTTTTGCTGCCTTTGGGGCGTTTCGCGTCTTTGTTTTTATCAAGAAAGTTTCAGACAGCTGTGCAGTAGGATGCAGAGATGGGTGCTCTGCATTTAGTTCGAAAAAAGTCGGCTTTGGCCACTAGAATGGTAAAGTTCACTACATTGAGTGTAACGTTTGTCACTCACTGCATTGGGATAACCCTATACCACGAGTAAAAGAAGTTAAATTTGACGGGCCATTAGATTCCTAATTTAAATTTCTTATGGCGTCATAATTGTCGAGTAGTGAATAGTCCGTCATAAAACCAGACTAAAATGTTGACTGTGTTGTTTAACGCACATTGAAAACAAAACAATAAACTATTACTTAATTTGCTACACCAACCGTTTTTCCTTGTTTAACTAATAAATAATGTTACTTTTGACTCTTTAATTTTGTTAATCATTTTTTTTCTAATATTGCTGCTCATTTAGTAATATCGATAGAAAATTAATGATTAAGAGTTTATTCTATAAATAAAACTGAATTGGCTATAGAAAATACAGACAGGGAGTTGTAATGGTCTCAAATAACCGATTAGAAAGGAAAATATGATTGGTAACTTTATAAATATAACCCACAGCTTAATATTTATTGTTTTGCACAACAGTATTCAAATGCGAAATACAATGTTTTATGTTCATCCAGTTGCCGATGTTACTTCGTTACTTCTTTCATTTCCTTCGAGTATGAGACGACAGAATGAAACATAATTAAAGTGTGTGTGAATACACGATACAAACCATTGGATATAAATTGGGTAATTAAGACCTGTGGATATGAAGAATTTTTGTATTACACTGGATAGATATCCAGGTGGTCAGGTGATTTTAACAGACCACTGTGATGACAATAATAATAATTAAGAAACAGGTTTCTAAACCTCATCTGTTGAAATTGTTACATAATTTCCATTCAAAGCCACAATAACTTGAACGAGTGAACACACCTTACGATTTCCAGATAATAATTTAAAAAGCTGGAATATTTAGAAATTACGCTATGCACTAGCTTTAAATAAATTGACAGCCCTATTTATTTCAAACAACAGTTAGAACTAGGTAACCAAATTGTTATGGCGTCAAAACCAAATCGGTACATTGTAAATCGGCCTAGTTATCATAACTCCAAAACACAATTTGGATTATGTTGACGTAGTCTCCTCAAAGTATGGGATTTATAACCAAAGCCTAATACTTTGTTAGACCAATGAAAGGTAAAAACTATTCAAAAAAAGTTATTCACAAATTGATTATTTCAGTTTTTTTTACTGCATAGAATTAGTTTTCAGGATTAATTTAAAAATTCATGAATAATTCTGATGCAAGCATTAATAAAAAAAACGCTGAACGAGTATTTAGTGAAGAGGTTCCTTTTGTCAAATTCATTATTCATTAACTCCATTATGGATAAGATTTTACTCTGATAAATCACACAGTGTTGTACAGTAATATTTACTGATGACGTTTCGAGCACAAATTATTGCTCATAATCAAATCAAGTCACTCAAACAACTTTTTGCTTTTTGTGTAATTTATCAAAATAAAATCTTATCCGTAATGGAGTTACAATCTACCAGAGTGCCCAAGTTTTATATTTATTTTTACTTCCACAATTGCATTTTTATACAATTATTTCCATAAAAGAGGATATTAACAGTAATGATGAGTTGTTAGAACCACAGTTGCTAAAATTAATCAATATATACAAGAAATAGAACGATGATGTTAGAGTAATGTAATGCGATGTATCAGTTTAGAGGATGAGCTGATGTCAGTTAGATAACCACTGAAAACTAGAGAGTACTAGAGAGCTTTCTCGTCCTAGTCGAGACCTTTGGAGCAGTCTGCATTCACGATCACACCTGGGGTCGAACATAGGACCTCTAGGTTACCAGGCCAGACTGGATGATCATTCAGATACTTGGACTAGAATCCAAAAACCCAGGAATTCTAATTTCTACGAACTCATGATTTTAGCAAAAACACCAGTCAATGTCTCGGGTGGGTATTTATCCTCACACATGACCTGGTGAACTCCACTGGTCGCAGCTTTTAACTAGTAATTCAAGCGACTTTGTTCTGTAACGAGTTACCAGTCGTAATATGGATGCACATACAAAAGAGGCGACTGTGATATTACCTATGATCCAGAAAGGAATGACCCTATTTGTTTTTTAGTCAACTTGTTTTCCATTTGTTTTCTATCTCTTTAACTCTTCTAGAACCTTCCTTCACTTAAGTAGTATCACTGTTTTCCTACTTTCTTTATCCATCTTGAATACAACTCATTCATTAAACTGTTCATCTTGTTATGTTACTCTAAAACCCTTTCTCAAATTTTCTTGTGTATTGGTTTATGATTGTGACAGCTGATCATTTTTCTTACTGTCCTTTTTATGGAAATAACTGTATATGAAATGCCATTGTATAGCTAAATAGAGTGAATTTACCGAAAACAACCTTTCGTTGAAGTAATTATTGTTTTCCATCCGTTTTAAAGGTAAGCAACACGCTCTACACCATATTTCGAAATACTTCTTAATTATGCTTTTTTCATTTATAGCATTTGATAGGTAATATAGTAATCGGTGTGTTTTACAATGAACCTAGGGTGTATATTATGTAATAAGGCAAAATTCTTTTACCTCAAGCTATGAAAGATTTTAAGACAGTAAATTATGTTTTCGGTTTATTGCCAACGCCTTCTCTCGGACCACAGTTGTTTATATCGCAGGCAAAAGTTATCCCCGTCTAATTCTATTAGTAAGGCAGATACAATATGTATCAGGGTGCCGTTTTTTTGATAATATCTGTCAGTCAGTCAGTCTCCCACAAATAAATAGTTCAGCATCGATCTTCTCTTGATTGGCAACTAGAAGATAACTATAAATTTCAAGTATTACAATTTATTTCTATTGTCCATTCGACAAGCTTAACATTAAGTGTTAAAATGTATGACTGATGATAGTAAATAACTGTGGAGCAAGCAACATTACTGGATTGGGAGAAGTTGTAAAACACAAGCTATCGGTTTTCAACCAACTGACTGAATGGCTAGTTGTCCGTAAGAGAAGCTTGTGATCGCTACTTTATTTTTGTTGAGTCGTGTGATTACACTACTAAAGATCCTATTTTTCTTCGGTTTTCAGTAACTTTCAAAAGATATTAGTTAGAATGAATTTTGTTTCGAATGGACAGAAATGCCACGAATGTAACAATGTAGGCAATACACTAAGTTTAATATATGGTCTTGAAACAAAGAATTAGAGTTTAAATTACTGTCAAATTTGAACCGATAGCAGTACAGGTTTTCACACCAACTTTAATCATAGTGTAGCAACAGAAGATAAGGGCCAGGTAACAGATCGTTTATTTAGGAAATCAACACATATTTATAGATTTTCATGTACATTATTATAGATTATTGTTAGTAGAAAAACAGTCTTCTGATTGATAGTTTCTCACTGAAAGCTAATCTTTCATCTCTTCGTAGCTGTTTCTTGAGTGTCGGATCATCTGTATGTTAACTGTATCCGTCTATGCAAAGTCTGCTGTAGTTGGTTGTTGGAACAGTCTTTGTTCACGACCAATATTAAGGACGTAAACATTGACGTAAATTATTGTCCACCGATTTGGCTAGCAACCAGCTCTCACCATAATAGTACATTATACAAATCAAGATTGATCATGGATTGATGTCAATTAGAGAACCATTAAAAGCCAGGGAGTGAAATACAACTGTCTCATCCCTGTTGAAGAATTTTCAGTAGCACGTGCTTCACCAGAGATCGACCTTCAGGT